CCGCGTTTGTTGGACACCAGTTGTAGAAGATGGCCTGTCCACATGACAGTTTCCACTGCATCCCATCCCCGTCTGTGGAACACATGTTGAAGAAGATGGCTTGTCCACAGGATCGTATCCACCGTAATCCATCCCAGGATGTGGAACACCAGTTCCAGAAGAATGGTCTCCACTAGATTGTCCGCTTAAATTGGTTATTTTTTTTGGCCCATACTGACATTTTTCTTACCAAAGTTACTGCCTCCACATTAGTAGGAGTACACATAATCTCAACATCATTAGAACCACCATAATCATTGTCAATTAACTCTTCCCAAAATTCAGTATCATACCCACGTGGGGGTACAAAAACATCCTCTGCACCATCATGAGATTCAACATCCTCATCTTCATCACTGACTTCATTATCAGGTATTGCGCTATATTTGATATTTGCTTCCACTTCCTTGACCTCTACTATGAGTTCTTCATTATCGGATACCAATGGAGATGAAATTCCTTTAGAAACACTGTCTGGTGTGATAAATCGAGTAGTATTACTACTTGAAGAAACCTTACTCTTGCCAAAACATTGTCTCTTAAAAGGTCAGTTGGGGCTTGGGAGGTGGAGCTTCTGAGTTTAGTTTCAGCTGTCTCTGCAACTCTAATAAGTTTATTATCGCTACAGTACCCAGATTTGGATGCGGTAGTGCGAATATTGGAAGGAGTGCCATCTATATCGAAACTCTCTGTAATTTTCACAAAAAATAGTCATCACGAAGTCTCTTCTTGCCAAGGTCAGGGGTTTTGAAACAAGAGTCATCACCGAATTCCGTGTTGTTGAAACTAATAAAAAGGTTCAAATCTCTGTTGACACTAAGGCTACGCAAGAAAAACCCAAAAGAACCATTGATAGTAAGCAGAACAGGGGGCGTCTTGTTTGGAGAACCAGAATATTTCCCCTGCTCTAGCTAGAAACTGAGCACAATCGAACCTAAATTGCTCCATAACCCAAACTCGGTAGCAACAGCAGCTGTAAGCTCAGATAGATCCATTTTCGGATTGACAGGAAGAACTCTTTCCATCTTCGGTTTATCTAGATAAAGTCTCAACTCCCGTCGTTACAAGAACGCCAATCTCCACACAATGCAAAACAATGATCTTCCATCCACAACAAACTCGAACGCACAAACGGTGTGAATCTCAAACAGTGTAGAGTTTAGTGTCCATACAGATTTGTTAACCTAATTGAGATTGGGCAAATGGTTAGTGAGGATAGAAAACTCACCAACCTTAGTACTAGCGCGAAATCTAAACCACACGATGTGTCTTCTTTTTCGAGATTCGAGCTGATTTAAATGATATAAATGTGAGCGAATTAGTTCAAGATAATGACAGTTCAATTACAACAATTGATTTGCAAACAGAAACTTAGAGATGAACGACCAAAATTAAAAAATATAAGTTGGTTTTCTTCTTTCGGACAAGCAAGCGAGGAGCATTTTGGTTATAAGAAATGATGAAACAGCCAAAAAGTATAGTTCTCTTTGAAAGTAAGAGATAAGACTGTGAAAAAATATGCTTGAGTGTAAATAACTAAAAAACAACAAATTTTCTAGTCGTAAAGATATGTAAATATAATTAATATCTATTTAACTAAAATAAAATACGTGATGCTTTTAAAATTAATAATGCTGGTAACTCTAATCCGTTACTTCTTTTCTTGTCGTAAAAAATTCTATTCAACTGAAAGGGAAAAAAAATCAGAGAAATGAAAAAAATTACTTCTAGACCGGTCCTACTGACCTCTAATGTATGTTTAGTAAAAGATATTGAACAATAATCCTAATACATGCATGTAAGGAGGAAGGGGGGGGGGCTACTAAATTATTGAGTGCGATATGTTGAAACTTCTTTCTTGGCGACATCATATTTTAAAGTATCTGCTATATAAAATTAAATAGAATGTTGTGATATGTATGAAAAGATACTTGAAAGGCTTGCAACTTGCAAGTTTCAAGTATTTTCTTCTCATTTTGGGTGCCCGATCTTAGATATTTATACGTGTTACATGCCCATTTAAAGATTATTTCGGTATAGACACTATAAATACCATAGATAGTTGTTCATACCATCATAGTCGAGTATAAATGTTCGTAAAGCTAAATAATAATTTTTCTTCATACATATGAAGACATAATATAATATATTAAATTGCTATTGTTTTGGGGTTTCTGGTTTATGACAATCAATGTTTTGAAAATCAGACCGGACCGGTTATTGAACCGGATTAAACCACAAAAAATTCGGAAATCGGCGACTCAATTGAATCGTTTAAAATAAA